GGTTCAGATAGTCAGATTTCAATGGATTATCTTCAGTTCTGCACTTCAAGACAAGTGACTGGACTGCTTCCCCTTCACTTATGTTCTTGCCCGTGTTTTTATCTCAATGAGTTCAGTTCCTTTCCTTTGTTGCTGTCTGAACACAAAGCTTCTATATAACCTTCCCTTACCACCATATTTCAACCCATGAAATCCTCGAAAAAGTCTGGAGGAATCTCTGGCGAGACGGGCATCGTGGCCACGCACTTGAACTGCACCGATAGAGCAAAGATACGGAATAAGGATGAAGTTCCAAACAACTCCAAAAGGGCATGATCCAAATGCCGAGTTAAAGGGTCTTTCACTTGTATGTCATTTACCTTATGTTGCTTGTATCTGTCTCTCACTGCTTGTAGAGCGCCTCCTCTTCTGCTCAGGTAAAGGTCATGTATGATACCGACACATTCTTTCAGATCAGCCGGTTTGTATCTCGTGTACTCGTGTAACATATGATTCTGTTAACAAAGGGCATCATCCATTACCGGTTTAAGAAGGGGCATCGTCCATTATCGGTTAAGTCACGAAGGTATAAATGCTTACCCAAGGATGTTGTTTTGGATGGAGAATGAATCGGGCGAGAAAGATTGCTGAAGCGGCCGACATAGATGGAAGGAACTTCACACAGTTATAGTCTAGCAAACTTAACTCTGATAGATAGCAGCAAAGGAACTCTAACTGCAAGTGTGACATCTGAGGGGAAAAAACACAGAGACATGGAAAAAGATTTAGTTAAGACACGAATTTCTCTCTTTGAATTTATGCGAAACGAGATTAGGTTCTTCCGGGCTTACTCTGAAATCTTCTTGGGCGGCCCTTGTGAACCGTCTGCACGATCAAACATAAAAAAGACAGAAACATAGGAGTGAGATTCTAAACCGAACTGTCATAACATGGTAGTGCAAAGGCTGAATCTCATGTTCTAACTTCTAACCTTAGAAATGTTTGGATGGTGGGTCTTCCTAATTCGAACCGCAGAACGAGAAGTATATCAGCCTCCATCTTCACCACTTCTTGCTTTGTATACGTGTTGTCGGTAATGTAACAAAAATCTTCCACATTTGGAGGACTTATCTCTTCATATTTCCTACTTGTTTCAACAAAAACGAATGGAACATAAGCCTAAACGTGAAAATCCCAAGAAAGATACTCAGACAACAAAGATGGGTTCAGATGCTCACGACGCAATAAGCATTGAAGAAACTCCAAGAAGCTGAAGTTTCTTCCTATCGACATTCTTCAAGGACAAGAATCTATCGATGTAAGAGACGGTGAGAAACAGAGTATCCGACACAAGTTTGTATTCTTCAGCAACCTCCACCAACCAATCCACCAAAACCCCTCTCATGTTGGGATTTACTTCTTTCTGAACCTTCTCAATGTAATCAAGCAGAGGTCGTTGTTTTGTATTCACCTGAATTTCATCGATCCAGTTGCAAAATCCACATTAACTCCAATTAAAAAGAAAAAAAGGCAATCTGGGCTTACCCAAGAATTCATACTCCATTGCCAAGAAATATTTCAGAAATATCAGATTGATAGTGACCATAGTTGCTAAGACAACCAAAATTCAGCTATCATGGAAAAAACTCAGAAAACTATCATACCAAACTTGCAAAATAAAATGACCCAGATCTGCAATTGCCCATGTTTAGTCAAAATCTAGCTCAGGATTCAGTCTAATACAAAATCGAGAAACTACAGACGTACCTCCATTTGACGAATATACTCATAGATGTCGGAGACGTAAGGGCCACACATCTGCGGATCATCAGTTCGCGCATCAATGTCGACGCTCGACTCGACAGCCGTCTCCGAAACCTTAGCCGTCTCGGACACCGTAGCGGGCTTTCTCTTCCTCGTAGATGCCTTGACAGTTCTTTTTAGCTTCTGGGTCTGTTCTGGATTCACAGGAACGCCGACATTGGAAGCGTTCGGAAGCTCTCCGAGCACTACTCTCTTCTTGCTCGCTCGCTTTTCGTCCGTCGCAGCCGTCATGGTTGCCTTTCTCTTCGCAGCTGCTCTGGTCATCCTCCCGCTATTTTCCTTCTCGGCCATGCTCGAAAAGAGAGAGAGAGGGGGGGGGGATGGAAGAATCGGAGGAGGGAGGAAGAAAAAGGGGAGAGTAGAAGCGCCATTTTTAGGGGGGGGATTTGAATAAACCTTGAAGAAATGGCGGCGAAGAGGTTACAATTCGAAATTTCGGGTTTCAGATCCAACAAAAGGTTTGAGCTTTCGAATAAGAATTCGACGAAAATCAGATGGCGGGCTCTTGCTGTATGTATTGTCGTATGATTTGGGTTTTCATTTGCCCTTCGGATTCAACCGCCTAATTTTGAAACTTCTCATATTTTGCTACAAATATAAAGATTCACTTTTAAAAAAATTCCTAATTCCGAATTTTATTTTTATTTTTTTAATCTATACCCCTTAATTTCTGGCTAACAAGTAATAATACCACCAAAAAAAACTTTGAAGTTCCAAAATTACACGGGGAAAGTAATTCATTATTTTTCTTTACTTTTAATTTATAATTAGTTAAAAAAACAGCTTTTATTTCTAATATGTTGTATTTAAATAGGGTGGACCGAAAGATACGAAAATGAATAGGGAAAAAAACATACATAAAATTTGTTTTAATATGCAATTTTAAATCTCAAATGTGGAAACACAGTTCACTAGGATAAAAAAAAAAGTCCAATATATATCATGTATCATATATTAAAATGAAATTGTAGCCAATTTGAAATTTTATGTTTTTGTTAGAATAAATGATTACACTATAAAGATTACATTGTTGTTATTGTATTATATGGATATAAAATCATAACTAAGTGAAATTATGTTAAAGTTATCCATTTTTCAAATGTTTTACATAACCAGTTTTCACGAAAAACAAATGATTTCTCATCTACAGTAATGGATTATAATTTATCGTATAATACGTTTTCTTGAAAATGTATTTTATGGTAGTAATGGTTCAACATTCGATAGTATTTAAAACATTTGTATAAACATAAATAAAATCAAAATCGGCATTCCATTTCTGTCTAACTAATTTCACTATAAATTCGGATCGCCTTTCCTTCCTTCGGTTTAAAGTATAAGGGCTCTTTTGCAATGAGAAATACGTGTAGGGGTTGTATCGCAATTATCATAAAATAAAAATCACATATCACATTACAAATGCTGTCTCATGTCTCTGACTTCTAAGTCACGTAGTCAAAGTTTGTGTTTGACATACAAACCGACGTCGTATTAACTCCCTCTCCGCTCTCTCCATAAATATTTTTCCCAAAAAAAAAATATTCAAAATCCCTAAAACAGACTTCGAAAATGGCAGAAGACACTGAATCGATCGACAGCTCCGCCGCATCGCCGCCGTTGGACGCACAGAGCTCCACTGCATTTCCCACCATGGAAAACCAGACCTCCAATGATGCGAAGACAGAGGCGGAGAAGATTACCGGAGGCGTCTCGCTCCGGATTTGGCCGCCGACGCAGAAAACTCGCGACGCCGTTTTGAAACGCCTGATCGAGACTCTGTCGACTCCTTCAATTCTGTCGAAGAGGTACGGGACGCTTCCGTCGGAGGATGCGACCTCCGTAGCGAAAGCGATCGAGGAGGAGGCGTACGGCGTTGCCTCCGCTGGCGTTTCGGTTGATGACGACGGGATCGAGATCCTTCAGGTTTATTCCAAAGAGATCAGCAAGCGCATGCTGGAATCTGTGAAGGGTCGGGCTCCGGCGAAGATGGGTCATGGAAATGCTGGATCGGCGGCGGAGTCCGGTGAAGATGCCGGTGTGGGTTCTACTGAAGCCACCAAAGACGATGCACCTCCCGAGTCGGAGAAGCCGGAGGCTTGAGTTCGGTGTATCATATTCCCTTCTCTCTTTCTAGGGTTTGCTTTTGCTAGATTCATATAAGAATCTCAGGGTTTGAGATGAGATGTGTTCTTGTGATGACTGGTGGATTTCTCTTGCTTATTTATGGAGGTTTTTCCTAATATGCATTTCTTCAGTGCCTGATCGGTATTGGGTTTGTGTCAACATGCTCTAACTATCGGCAAGCATTGTCATTGGAATCATTGAGTGAGGAAAGCATATGTGTCGATGTGAAAGGATAGGTTTTACCAGTTTGTCATCATATATTGTTGTGATAGTGTTCAAGCTAGTGATTGATGATTTTGTCCAGATGCTTGCTCAATTTGGTTAACCTTATTATGTATCATCAGCAGATCATTTGCATTTCATTGCAATAAATATCTAGACTTTTAGCATTTCATTGTGCATTGGCCTCTAGTAGAAGGTTCAATCTTGAATAGCTATAGAATATACCAAGTTTGGCTTTTAGAGTATCCTATGGATCAGACACACAAGGAATTAGGGTCCGGTCAGTTTGTTGTCTTTTGTGGAAGGTAGACTGGGCATAGACGGATTGCAGCTCTGTGATTGGTGCTTTTAGCTTCTACATGTTTAGTTCAGTCACGGTCTGATAGTTTTTTTCTCTATGTGGATGTTGTCTTTGTTAACAATGGAGTTAAAAGAAGATATCCATCTTCTTTGCATTGTTTCTTGAAGCGTCTGCATCTTGCTGCAGTTTACCGCAAAGTAGATGAGACTCTGTGTTTTGTTACTCGGGTCTTTTGTTAGATTCTTGTGCAACTCAATCTCTGGGAGTAATTTCAAGTGGTATTTCGTCTTGATACAAGTCTCTGTTTAGTGGCTGGGAACCTGCATTTTACTCCTTTCTAGTTTATCTACTCGCTTGTCTGCTTACCGATTGTCATTGTTTGTTCCCTCGACAGCTACTATATGGGACTTGCAGGTATCGTTAAGATTGAATTGAAACGATCATTTTTACTTCCTCTAGACCCGCCTTTGCGTTTGTTTGAAACCGATGGCTGTGTACACGAGTCGGTGAGTCGGGTACTCGTGATTTTGGGGGTACCTGATCTTGAAGTCGGTTTTCGAGATTTGGAACCCGAATTTTGAGTACCTTTGGGGTGCTCCAAATGCTCGGGTATTCACGGATTACCAGGTAGGTGAGGATGAGAGGACGAGCCGAGGGGGTGATTGGGCGAGGTGAAGAGAAGATATCAGAGGCGAGGAGGGTGAGCCTAACCTTACCCTCGACGAGTTTGACATTATTTGGGTTAGGGATTTTCCCCAAATTTACATGGCCATCCCTCCCGACACCTCGTCTCGTCTTGAATCTAATCATAACCCTAGATGAGTCTGGTGATTGGTTTCTGCGTATAAACCTCTTTTGAATTTGATGGTTAGAAATTAAATAAACTTATACTCTCTCCTGTTCCAAAATATTTGTAGTTTTACGTTATTTTTTATTATTTTTATAATGTTTTCCTATTAAATTCCAATAGATTATTAGTGATAACATTGTTTTTATCATTAAATAATGATATATACGACTTTTTTTTGTTTTCTTAAAAAATGTGAAATAATTTAAAACAATAATTATTTTGAAACAATTATTTTGAAACGGAGGGAGTATTCAAATACCATTTTCTTATAATAAATTTATATGATTTACACCACATTAAATGAATCAAAACAAAACACGTATAGATTTACTTTTGAATACAAATCTTTGAACTCGTAAGAATAAAAAAAAAGTTTCAATGTCCGCGTCCTCTCTTGCTTGGCCCCGAAGCTAACCGGAAAGCAAAACTCCTCGTTAATCGCCGATCACCGGAATTGTTCGCCGCCGCCGCCGCCAAGAAGGAGCCAAAACCACCGACTGGCTCAGGTGGTGGCGTTGGCGGTTGATCACAGCCGTTCATCTCTGTTCCCTTTGATCGTAGGGATCTGCTTTCAAATTCACCAAACATGGACGAGACAAGCAACAAGATCATGCCCACTACCATACTTATGCTCTTCTTCTCCATCTCTCTCTCTCTCTCCGTGTGAAAAATGGGTCTGCGATTGTTGAGTGATTCTACCTCTGAGGAGTTTGTGTGTGTGTATATATATATATATGTATATACTTGTATGTACGTGTGTGTGTGTACGCTAAGGTCTTTTCTTGACCAAGAATGTAGAACTTTTTGCCTTTTCCTCTTCTTTTTTTTTGGTGCGACCGTCTCTAATCTTCGACGCTCT